AAGTTTGGGTGGTTTCAAACAACTTTTTCATTTAACATTCCTCAATATTCCTATAAAAACAACATAATGACCTCTTTATACTGAACTTTCCTTGAATAAAGTTCCATTCCTATTTCACATTCTTGGGGGAATTTAAGACTAAGAAAATTGTTTGAAATGATGACTTAATAAAAACAAATTATCATAGATATTACCTTTCGTGCGCTTCAAGCGTTGAAAAATATGTTCCATCAATAACTAATCCAAGTGCTTCGTAAATTTTTTATTTTATAAGGATGCTTGCCAAAAATTCGACGGATGACGTCACAATGTGTCCATGATGATTGCAGACAAAAAGGTTCCTGCATGATCCTCCATTTTGAAAACAAATGTCATTTGAAAGGTATTTTTTCGCTCTATCGACTTACGTAAAATTATTCATACAGAGTGCCATTTGAATTTCAGTAAAATTTTGGGGCAAATCCTCTGTACTTGTACAGTGTGCAACATATGGAATTTTTTTTGATGAATTGCACAACCAAAATACAGATAGTGTCAAAGGTTGGTGCATGGTCGGTAATCATTCAAGGTGCACTCAGAATCGTTGCAAGTCAAACAGCATACAGGGTAGGTCGAAAAATATAAAAAAGTCAGGAGTAAAGTACTCTTATTTCAGAAAATTCAGCAAACTGTTATGGAAAAAAGTTCTTTACAATCGAAAGTTTTTCCTGAATACCAAAACATGGCCTCCTAAGACATATTTTAGTGTTTCGATTTGTTCCATTAATAACTTCCCAATTTGTATTTTTTTTTTATATTCACCCTAAACACTTTCATAATTTGATCATAACAAAATCAGTTGATCATACTTTTGTTGAAATTAATGCACTTTTGTGCAATCAACTTGGATTTTATTTTTTTAGGGAATCACAAACTTGATGTTTGTTGCAACGATATACAGCTTAATTTTGAGATTTCGCAAACCATATTTTCAACAAGGTAAAACATCATTAGATAAGGAGTATGTCACCAAACTGCCTCAATATTTACTGTCAACCCTCATTTGTTCTGTTCCTTGGGTGTCCGTGATTTTTCAAAAGATATCATGGTTGTCGATCAATTTGTTCAGCTTTTTCATAAACATTTCAAATACGAAATGTTCACATTAAATGAAGGTTTTTGAATATGCATAATTATCATTAATGATGTTTTACCTTGTTGAAAATAGGGTTCGCAAAATTTCAAAGTTGAGCTGAATATCGTTGCAACAAACATGAGGTTTGTGATTTCCTAAAAAAATTGAAATCCAAGTGGAATGCAAAAATATGCTCGAATTTGAAAAAAAATGGGAATTTATTAACGAAAGGAATTGAAGAACTGAAGAATGTCTTAGGAAGCCATGTTCTGGTATTTGAGTATGAATTTTAATTGTGAACAACTTTTCTCAATAACATTCTGCTGAATTTTTTTAAATACGGGTACTTTACTCCTGAGCACTTTTTATATCTTTTTACCTACCCTGTATGCTGTTTGACTTGCAACTATTCTGAGTGCACCTGAAATGATGATCGAACATGCACCAACTCTTGGCACTATCTGTATTTTGGTTGTGCAATTCATTAAGAAGATTCCCATATGTTGCACACTTAAATGACCACACTGTATATTGAAATAATGCTCATATTATTTTGTAGAAACGAGGAGGGAAAATCCCAAATAATCGAGTAAAACGTATGTAACACCTCCTCGATCAACCAACAGGCGGTATTTCGAGCCGCCATTCCTTGAGATTTGACATTTCATGGAAGATGAATGAAGTCATTATGATATCCGAAACGCAAATGAAATTGATCACATACAAAGTACCTCATTGATCACATACAAAGTACCCCATTGAGAAACGGAACATTTTGGTATATAAACGAATTGGGTCCAATCAACTTATTTTGACCTCTACTTCAAGTAGAGCAATTTTGGGACACCCTATATATAATCTATAAGTGAAGTCATGTGAGGGATTCAAGCACAATTGACAATAAGAAATCACTTGATTCGAAAACTCTTGGGGAGTAGGTTTCCCGAAACGAAATAGCGATATACAAATGCTACAAGTTATTTATTTATATTATCTACTATTTAATTGGAGAATCAAATTGAAAGGTATACACTCTGATCCGAATCTCAGACCATTGGACTATAGAAAAGTTTGAGAGTTTGATGTTTTTCTCCAATATTTATATGTTCAGAAATGAACATACAATGATTCCATTTCTGCCTTATAGAATCTCCGAGAATAGATTCACCTATTATACATAGAAAACATCGTTATATTCACATGTCTGATGTTTTCTTACATAATTTTTCAACAAAAAGAATGATATATACTTCTTTATCTTGATACAATCAAATTATCATGTCAATATCTTCCTGATTCGGATCAAACAGATTATCAAACACAAATACTACAATTTTCGAACCTTTCTCAGCCCTCTAGAATTCTTCATAAAACAGTTTGAATCAGATTCGAGTAGGTATAGCAAGGAATTTCTATCGATTCAACTTGGCAACAATGCGCTACCGCTTGTTCCGAGTCTCCACGCGTCTCACACATTCTGGTATATTGACGGTCTGTCGATGTACGGTTCTGATGTTTTACGGGTCTGTCAATGTACGGTTCTGCCATTTTACGGTTCTGCTATTTTACGGGTCTTAATCCAAAAAATTCTGAAAATTTACGGGTTTGGTAGCTGCACGTTTCTGCCATTGTACGAGTCTGTCATTTTACGATTCTGCTGTTTTACGGGTCTGTCGTTTTACGGTTTTGATGAATTATGGATCGGAAATTCTGGTAGTCCGATGGATTATGAGTCTGTCGATGTACGGTTCTTGCATTTTACGGATCTAGAGTATTGGCAGTCTGTGCTTTTACGAGTCTGTCATTGTACGGATCTTTCATTTTACGGGTATCAAAAATCGACAGTCTTTCTTTTTACGGGTATGAACTTTTCGCATTCTGTCATTTTCAGATTCTGTACATCACAATTCTGCCAGTTTGCTGGTCGGGAATGTTCATTCTGATGAAATGGTGGTCTACAGAGTACGGGTCGCTGAATTACAGTCTGTGCTTTTACGGTTCTATGACTTTACGATTATATATTTTTATGATTCTGACGACATGAAGAGTATTTTATTTACTGGTTTGGCAAAGTACACTTCTGAATATATGGCAGTCTTTCGATATACTATTGTGATTTATGCATTCTGACATAATGCAGTCTGTCAAAGTACGGTTCGACAAATTACGGGTTGTACATATTGCAGTCGCTGAAATATGGTTCTGATGATTTGCTATTCTGATTTCTTACTATTCTAGTCAAATAAATTCCTACTAATCGACGGTCTGTGTCGATACGTTCTGATGATGTATATGGACCCCTTGAGAACCTCGTCCCAAGAATATTCCAGGTGAAAGTTCACGCTACAGGGAAATGTGTTTAGTTCAAACTGAGAAAAACTAAGAAAAATGAAATATCATCCTCATTTTCGATAGCCAAGCAGCCATTGATCAATTCTCAGATGGTTTGGGAATGCCTGGAAAAATTGAACGAGCCCGCCAAAAGAAATACAGTCACCCTCTTAGGTTCCGGAACATTCCGGAGTAGAAGGCAATGTAGTAGCGAACAAACGGGCTCGCAGAGAAGTTCAAAAACCATTCGTGGGACTGAACTATTCTGCGGCATCATCCGCATTTCAGCAAATAGAGTAGAATAAGTGGAACAGAGATTAGACATCTGGGAGAAAATTCAAGGTCTCAGACAGGCTGAGATACAATAAGGTGCACATATCCACAACAGATCGAACGCATACGTCAGCCTTGGTGACGATAAACTTCGTTTACCAATGGAAATCTCAACAGGGTTGAGATGACATTTTGGGAAGCTCGGCTTGGAAGAGAAAGACGAATGCAGGTTCTGATATCAGAAAGAGGAGGCATCTTCCAAACACATGCTTACAGAACCCAAGTGCGAGAAAAATCGGAGCATACTTTATGATGGAAGAGGAGCTACTCTACCTGGAACCACCCCATATCATGAAATAAGACTAGAGAAATTGTGAACTTACATGAATACTGTGCCACTATTCTGTTTCTAGACTGGTCACAATTTGAATTCGATGAAAAAGTTATTTGATTACTATCAGGTGAGTTCGACAACCTTGACACTTATTTCTGACGTTGTTTATTTTCACGAGAGTTTTCATAATACTTTTCCGATAACGATTCACGAGACGACTTGTCAAATTATCTCTATCGTTCTTTGCTGATTATCTTCCAAGAAGACAATATTCATGTTAGTTTTCGTACATGTGTTTGAAAGCTGAGAAGTTCAGAAGTGACTGTGATTGTAGCTGGCAGAGGTGTACAATCTCGATGAGCATAAACAATGAGTTCTTGTTGAGTGTTGAGATGGTACAACAAGAGGAATGGCACTGGTGTTAATTATTCTTCGTGTGGTGCTAGGTTTATGCTTATCGAGTTCTTGATATAAAAGTGCTTATCAAATTTTGGATCGACTTAAACAAGACACAAAGGTATAAAGAGAAATAGGATGTATGTAAAATCAAGTTCAGTCCCACGAAGACGGACTGATTATATTCTTCATGAAAGGTTAGTCATTTATAAAAATTGGAAAATTATTATAGAAGAGACACTTTGACAGAGAAAAATGTCATGGTACAGTTGATTGAAATATACCAAATTTGAATTCATTGATTTTGTGAGTTCGAAGTTTGTTAGAATTTTCATAATTCAGTACAATGATTTGCCCTAAGCAAGCACTTTTCAAAATCAACCTAATTCTCCGCATGCGCATTGATGATCTGGCTATAGCTTTCATCACACTCTTGATCTACTGCATTGTAATTCTAGTGTCAGTACCTATATATGATATGATTTTTATGGTCTTTCCACACTATGTGGACACTTGAACATTTTCGCCCACAGAAATGATGTAGGTACTTACTCTGCGATATCCTTGATGATGTACGCGGTACCGATGAGAGTTTCGTCGATGGCGACTGCTGTGGAAACGGCGAAACCCCATGGAGAAATCGTGTCTTTGACAGTCCTCAGCAATGCCGCGAAGTTTTCTCCGTCTGCAGGTACGCCTCCTCTGGTCGTGGGATACTCCCAGTCCACGTCGATGCCATCGAAGTCGTAGTAGACCAAGAACTTGAGCACGTTGTCGGCGAATTTCTGGCGGCGTTCAGCAGTGTACGCTGCCTGAAATTGAAGTTCAAGTAGTTTCATTCATATCAACACGCTTAAATCAGCTTGGTTTGTATGTTATATCAAAAATAGACAATGCCTTCATTCATCTATTTGGACGCAAAATATCCAGCCTGGTGATATTCTTATAACCTGATGATGCTGGATTAGCAACTCTGCCAGCTCTACGGAGTAGTTCTGCATCAGCATACCGAGCGTATGAATGAATGAAGACACAATAAGCGACACTACGGTCAATCCAATCACTTCGATCAAACTACTATCGAGTCACTTTCAATTTGTACTTCATATTTGCCCATTATGAAGTTATTTTTCCGATAGTTATCTATGTGATAGGGACGAAACACTGTCTCTTATAATTGAGTCTGCAAATTGAAAGCCGAGGCTAGCAATCAGGCGAGACAACCCAGGCAACCGGATGACGTTACAGTGACGACCCCTGCGGACCTCCTGCCTCGAGTGGAGAATCTCCCGATATACTCAACTATAATTTGGACATCAGCTGATCAATAGGTAGATGCTTAACGTATTACTCTGTAGAACCCTTGTTGATCAACAGTATACAACAAGCAATATTATGTGCGATTTCCGATTGACTCAGCACATCGATACTTTTAAAGTATTAGATAAATACGGCAGATGATACCTAAATAGATGTTTTGTGATCTGGTGGGGCCAGTAAATAATGAATTTATTGTGAGCATTGTATTATGCTTATGTTTGCAAGGTTCCTATATGAATAGATTCCAGAGATCGAGGGTAGAAATTATATATGCAATGATTTCGATTATCATTGAACAATGTTATTCAATCCCGTAAACAAAAAGTCGATAACGTCCAGAGTTGGACGCACCCAGTACATCGGAATCGTACGTACCCAGTACGTTCCTGAAATGGACGTTTTCAGTACGTGTTGAAAAGGTCCCGGTCGTTCAGACCTGAATGGGTCCTAAACTGGATTTCCTCAAGACATCGAGTGCTATATGGGATTACTTCAGAAATTTTTTGAAATTTTCAATATTTCGTATTACAGCTAGTAGTTATTTCTGTATCTTGTGAGCAAAATGCTATATTCTGGTGATCGGCAACTGACTTCTTCAACAAGGCGCAGCCAAGTTACAAAAACAAACAAGATCACCTCGCGCACGAGTAGTGAACAGATCTTTTTGAACAATCGTCAAATTATATTGTTTTGAAATAGCTCATATGCTCAGAAAATGGTGTTGCACTTTCTCAAAAGGCCATAATTATAGTTGAATATTTAGAAATGAATGATTCCTTCGATTGTTTTAGATTGAGAACCATGAAAGTAGAAATACGGAGGTCCCAAATAATTTCCATGCAGTGCGCAAAATATGTGTTGATGCGCAAACTATGTAATACGCTCTAAATACTGTGAGAAGCCGAGAAAAACTATGCAGAAGTGAAAGCGTGGGGGGAAAAATGATGAAAAATAAGATAGAAAAAACTGCCGAAATGAGTTGAAAGATCGTGAAAACTACATAACGCGTGCATATCGGTCACGGAGTGTTAGATTCTGAATTGAGATATTCAGGTTCATTTTGTTCGCCTTTCACCAACTAAGTTCCATCGATTTAGAAGTATTTTAATCATGAAACAAACTTCTACTAAAATTATTTCATTTTAATACTCTAGTATTCGAATATTTCTGAAGATACTTATTTCTCTTCTATGTGTATATTTCAAGAATGCATGAATATAACTGAAAATATTGATGAATAGATCACTCACTATTGAATATTTCTGTGAACCTTCATTCCATCCTCCCACAGCCAATATAATTTTCAAACATGGATTTTTGATCTTCAAATTGGTCACATTGGCATAGCCCTCTGAAAATATAAATGTATATTATAGCATCAGTAAAATCACTGGGATACAGAAGATCAGCTGATTTGCATCTGTCAAGAGATCAAAATTTTTGCATTGAAATTTCAAAAATCAATTTATATCTCGTGGACGTTCGGAGATATTTGGAAATGTGTAGGTATAACCTGAAAAAAATTATCACAAAGAAGTGTACACGGTGAAAATGATATTTAGTGAAGCTTTTCGACCAAATAGAAATGCACAATGAGTTTCATCAGAATACAAATTTTGTGGAATTCCAGTCAAAATTGTGTACATAATTTCTCGACAATGTTTCATTGTGTCAGTATGATTCGAAGGGTAGGTATGAAATGGTTTGAAAATCAGGTGTCGTGGATCTGGATTGTCAAAAAATTATGTGTACCTGGAATTGAAATCAACTGACATTTAAACATTGTCACATATAATATAGAAACATTCGCCATTGATTTGGTTCGAAGAAACAGAACCTCCTCATCAGGTAAACGTATAAAGAGAGATCAACAACATTTTCTGATTCCTGAGTTTTGTAAATTTGCGTGCGAGATTTCAAATCCCTTAGGAGATCGTCCAAGTCAGTGTGACTGACTGAAAAAGTGTCCCTGGTATGTGTGATTTGCCCATCGAATGTTCAAATGTTTGATATTATTTTTGAAACTCACTCCATTCCTCCTCAGGATGAACTGAATGGATCTCGATATTCGCCCTCTGATTGGCCAGAACCTTTACATCTGGCGCCCAACGTAGAGCTACCAAATTTGAAATGCTCAATAGAAATTGATGAACTAGGGAATCGTCGGAAAGATAATCGAACGCTCTTCAACATGATGTGTCATTCGACATCCCTTCCAAGTCAAGGTTGTGAGGAAAACATTATCCCCTCCTAGGGGTTGAACCAAGATGCTTGAGATATCAATCTGAGGTGACTACCCTGAAAATTGGATTGACCTCTCCTTTCGACTCTCCAGGAAAGGAAGATATTGAGCGTGGGAAGTTTTCACAAAAGATCACCCTGTATGTATACGATGAGACCAACGGTTGATGAAATATAAGGAAAAAACTGCAACAGTGCTCCTTCTCTCTATTCCATCCTATTGAGCTTATTTTCATTTAATTTGATAGGCCTGACAGTATCAGTATTTGCTTGAAGATGGTCACGGTACAGTATATCACCACCTCAGCTATGCCATCTCTCATCGAGTTTTCTTCCAGTCAGATCACTCTTCTAGGTGGTGGACGGTGTATCATCTGATGCCATTGCCTTCAATCCTGGCATTCTACAAGGATCAATTTTGGCACCAACATAATTTCTACTTCATATCAATGATCTGTTGGGACCAATCCGTTGCCTTTCGTAGACGATGGTACTCTCCATACTGCGTTCCCTTCCTGAATCCCCTTTTTTTTGTCAGGAAACAAAGAACTCACGGCGAAGGTAGGCCATTGCTGTCAATGAAGATCTTGCTCAAATCACAGCCTGGGGAACCAACAACCTAGTTGAATTCAATGCCGCGAAAACTCAAGCCTGTATTTTCTCCTGAGAGGCAAAACTCAGTATGCCTGATATAACGATGTCTGATACCAAGTCTACTATATCTATCCTTGGTGTCTCCATCATCAATACCCTCACATGAAATAATCACGTCAGATCCATCGCGAAAGCTGCTTGGGGCTAACTTTTACGATGCCGCCGCGCCGCCGCGCCGCCGCCAAATATTCAATTTACAATTGCCAGTTTCAAAATTCAAATAATTCTTTCACTGCTTCTTGTACAGCATATAACAATAACATGAAATCATTATGTACAACGAATTACATTATATTCACTTCAAAAGTTAAACATAACAACAAACAACAGATATTTTTTTCAGATGAATACTAAAATACTTGACTTGATTTTTCTGATGCAAAGTAGTCAACGGCATTATCGAAATTCAGATTAAATAACATGTCACTTTTTATACTTGAAATTGATAGGATATTTTTAATATATCCTCTACCATGAAATTCTTAAGGTAGTTTTTCACTCTTCTTAAAGTTGAGATCACCACTGGCATTTTGTTTTTTGTTATTGAGTTAGACGAATCACGAAATTACCCCTACTCTACTGAGTAGAATGCGATTTTTCTTCACATCATCGAATAAAAATATGTACCGCCCGCCGCTTTTGTATTGTAGCGTCCAAGACACAACTGACGCTAGATTAGTGCATGTTATGATTTTCATAAAAACAGTATCTCAACCAGTCAACCACTGTATTTCTGCTTGTTTTTCCTCTTTTCTCTTTTTCTCTACCGCCTCTTGAAATTCACCGCCGGGGGCTGATAGTCCCATAGCCCCCCCTAAATCCGGCACTGCTGCTTAATGAAAACTCGGATTTTTATTGTTAAGTGTGAAAGGCTACTTCACACTCCAACAGCTTTCCATGATTTACAAATACGACCTGATCTAGGATACTGTTCACAAATATGAGGTTCAGCACCCAAACATACTTTATTGCTCCTAGATTCTATATAGAGACCTGACGAGTAAGCTACCTCACTTTAATCATCTTCCAAATTTATATTTAACAATTTCAAATTTCGATTTTATATAATGTCTTTTTCAATTCAGAAGTTCATCAATCATTTTTCAATTTTTACATTTTCAACATTCAACAAATTTTCGAAAATTTGGAAAAAAAAAATGTTTTCCAAAATATTTATTCAAATTCTTTTTTTCAATTTTCAATTTCAATTTCTTTCGATTACCTAAAAGCAGATTACTTACTTACAGGTGCGCACTGATGTTGACTTAACAGTCGAAAGCGCTCTGGTACGAATATTGAATAAATTATTTTGCACGAAATACAAATTTTCCCCTCTTTGGTATACAGGGTGATCCACGGTGGATGGCCTATTAGAAGTATCTGGAGAACGAGAAGACGGAATATATTCAAAATTGAGATGCTTTGATGATTGAACATTCTCTATCCGTCTAAAATATTTGCATCGATTCAGTGTTGCCACTTCTATCAGAAACAACTAGCAATTTCGTTATTTTAAATGGACCTTTCTGTATTTTATTGCATTTTAAGATACTTCCTGAAGAGCTGATTCCATCAATGTATGACACTTGTGGTCTAGCAGGAATGATTACAGAGATATAAGGTGTTCATAATCGAGATTTTCCAATTTTAGGATTTTTTCGTGTCGAAACTATTCATGATCGATCAAAACAGCTCACATGTCCCTATCTTAACTTTCGATTCACTATCTACTGACATTTAATTGGAACAGATACAGGGTGATCAGAATTCTTAATCTTGAAGCACCCTGTATTTCTCCAATTAAATTCCAATAGATAGTGGATCAGGAGTTGTGATAGGAACATGTTAGCCATTTTGATCAATAATAACCAGTTTCGACACAAAAAAATCCTAAAATTGAAAAATATCGATTTTGAACACCCTATATCTCTGTAATCATTCCTGCTAGACCCAAAGTGTGATGCATTGATGAAATCAGCTCTTCAGGAAGAATCTCAAAATGAAATAAAATACAGGGTGTTGCATTTGAAATAACAAAGTTGCTAGTTGTTTCTGATAGAAGTGACAAAACTGTATCGATGAAAATATTTTATACGGATAGAGAATGTTTAATTATCAGAGCACTCCAAATTTCAGAAGGTCCTCTCTCTTCGTTCTCCAGATACTTCTCATAGGCCATCCACCGTGGATCACCCTGTATATTCACGTACACAGCCCAGCAACCCTCACTCATATAGAGAAGAGCCATTCGTCTGGTGGGTGATGGCACAATCACCAACACTTTGATATCATTGGAACACCGTAGGAAGATCAGCAACCTTCCACTTCCTTATTCATACTTCCGTTGTCAACCTCGAGATATGTCGAACAGCACTATATCAAAATTGGTTTTTTATAGAACGGGAAAACTCTGTGATTCATTGCCTATGGAAGTATTTCCAAGAACTTATGATCCCCAGAAGTTCATTACAAAATCCAACACCTATCTCATCTAGGTACGCGCAATGTTCTTCGAACATTATAGGGATTTCCTTTCGAGCGCATCAAGCGATAGAAAAATATTCGTTCTTCCAGGTCATTCGTACAACAGTGACAAATCGAAATCGCTGATTTGAATTGAGGATGCAAATTGGAAAAGAGAGTATCATTATTTCATTATTCTTGGCGAGGAGGAAAATATGGTACATTGTATGTGTTGGAAAAGTTTCTCCATTGAGGATGCCGAGTCGTATAAAGAAGAAATGCTCATCAGGTTCGAATGTATGGATTGATCGAAATATCAGAACACTTTACACTTTCTTTCAAAATATGCTGTTAGGTCTCAATATGCTGGGAGAAGATCCCTAAAATATGATCTTTTTCAAAGCAGAAGTCAAAAAACGAATATTTACTCATTGTCACATCCAGTTCATGATCCAACGGTGATATTTCCAGCTTTTCGTCCAATCCAGCGAAGGTATAGATGATTTTTGTACAGATGGTGGTGTCCAAATCGTCAGAGGTGAATTGTCCTATTTCCGTTCTGTACCAAGCCCAACTACCCCAGTAGCAAACTATTTCCACGTCATTTTCTGAGAATGAAAGGGAAGCAAGTTTCAAGTGATATATAGGGTGTTTCGTAACTATCCTGCCAAACATCACCAGCTTCTTCTACGACCAAAAATAGGAAGAAAAGTTCCAATAAACTTGAGTCGAGAAATGATATTTCTTGAATATTTTGGTGGGTCGATAGTGAATACTAAACGTTGAGTAAAATAATAGGCGCCAGTCACTACATTGATCAAATAATATCACAACAAAATTGTATCATACTATACGATAAGTACCACACTATTTTGTAGGGGTCATATCTGGTATAGTTTATTTAGTATTATACAGTTCCGTAGTGGTATCATCAAAAGAATGTAGTGACTGGCCCTTATTTTACTGAACGTTTGATATTTACTACCGAATTTTTTCCCAGTGTGGTACAAGAACTGAACTTATTGTGCTCTATGCAATTAACATAAAATATATACATAACGTTGTCAATTTTCAAATCATAGTGGCTATAAAAAAAATCAACTTGTTTCTCTTCAGGAAGAAAGCGCGAAAAATAAAAAAAAGATGATGAAGAGACTACTCCAACTCTTGGAGTTTGTTTTTCATTTTCACTACGACTCATTACAATGTTATGACTGCTATGCATGACATCTGAGATGTTACAATATTTTTGAATCGCTTTCACTCAATAATGATTCATCTAATCGTTATAGAACAGGAATATCTCTGTTCTGTAAAGAGGTGCGGATTTTTATATTCCGAAATCGCATTGTCAGAAGGATATTCCTACGAGAAATGTTGACCAATATTCGATGTAGTGCCACCCTAAATAATAGTGAAATATTGGAATGATTTTATGCTCACTGCATTGGGCATGAAGAGTTGAGTTCTTGTATCAAATTGCATGTTCACCACATAGAGTTTCGGAAATACTCAAGAAATATCATCTCCAGGAGCTCCATCTCATGGGGCCGTCTTTGAAATATGTCTTCCTACTTTCGATCGTTGAAGCCGCTGGAGAAGTCTGGAAGGGTGATTTCGGGACACCCCTTTGATATAAATATGACAATCGATCCTGTGAGCATACATGCTATTATTCAATTCACAATAGTTTCAGCTCACATGTCTACCAAAAATACTGACCACCAAAACCTACAGTATAGTAGTGGCAATCTGTTTATCACAAAATAGACATACTTTCAGCATTCATTGACAATTGTTGTCTGCTTATTATAATGCATTCATAATCGCCAAAATATGATGCCTGCTCCTCATAACGCACTAGAGCGTATGAGTGTACTTGAAGCAACTGTGTAGCAGGTGAATATGATAAGCAAATAGAAAACAAAAACACAGGAAAATTTATTCCATACCGGAATATCATCAGTGCCATGAAGAAATAAGGCGCGTAAGTGAATGAAGTAAAAATGGTTATCGCCCATATAGCACGGATACGTCCCCAAAACGTACTGAGAACGTCCAGTCAAGACATTTCGTACGTAATGAGGACGTCCAGATCAGGACCGTAGACGTACTAGATACGTACTGGGGACGTCCAGATTCCGCGAATCCGTGGATTATGAGAGATGTATGATATTCATATTTGCAAGGTTTCTATATGGAAAGATATCAGAGATCAAGGGTAGGAAAGTATATGCAATGATTCTAATTATCCTTATACAATGTATTCAATCCCATCTACATGAAATCAAACGAGTTGGACTCACCCAGTACATTGTACTCGTACGTACCCAGTACGTCTTGAAATGAACGTTTTCAGTATGTCTCGAAGAGGTCCCTGACGTTTAGACCTAAATTGGACTTGAAATTCACGTCCACAGGACGTCGAGTGCTATATGGGCTGATCCATAAAAAAAAGGAATCTGGAAAGATACCCACCAAGGTATCCCACACAACATGGCCATTCCCTTTTCTGGTGAACTAGGATAAATACAAAAACGATTGAGGATCGAATTTGTTTAGAGTCATATGAACTTTCTCTTTCAGATAATTTGAACTAAGTATACCAGGATGATCCATATGCGTGTGAAATACCAAACATACGAATTTTCTCATAGAATACCCCGGATTTCATTTCGTCCTTGGATAGAGTTCAGAAAGACGAGTTCAATGATATATGAGAAAATCTGTTTCGGACTAATTCATGATATTCGTCAATAAGTAGTCTGATTTCAAAATCCTATAAAAAGTTGAGTATCAAGTTCTTCATGAGCGTTTCTTGAATATTTGAGAATAGTATAAGAGATCTGTGACAAAAAACACGCATGTGAAACTTTCCGCAAAGTATTTTGAATTTAGATTACTTATTTTAGAAGATCATGGATGAGTCCGAAACGGGGTTTTCAGACCCATGTCGTCCTTGGTATGGAATCAGTCATGTCATGAATGAGTATGGTACAAAAATACTGGTATAGGTCATTATTCCAATAGTGAATCATCCAACAAATGATATTCCTATCTGAATCATTATAATTATTGCAACTCACTGCATTCTTGTTGCTTCGATATGCACACTAACGATGAGAGGAACAAAAGTGTGAAGAAAACACTCATTTTGTGCACTATGATAGCATTCCCGTGATCCACAAACACAAAACTGAAGGACCTATCCCAAATTGAAACTATTTATAGTCATTGATTTGTAAGATATGAGTAAGACTCAATAATGATTGTAAATGGAGCATTAGTTGAATTTCATGTGACAAGGATAATTTATTATTTTATATGATGCTTGATAAAATCAGACAGGTATATAGTAGAAGTTTGTTTATCTTGTTTTACAGGTTGCTTCGGAGAACACATGTTATCTTTGGAAAAATTGCATTTCCCAATAAGTCCGTACAAGTAGCTCCTCCCATTTGAATAAGCGAAAAAAAAAATGAGACCCCTCTATGAGAGAACACATAGAGAGAAAAATGAGAATATCAATTGATATAATCATATTATCATCTGAGAGAGACTGAACATGAAATGAATAATTGCACACCATACTCTAGGAATGGTTCCAGGTGGAACATATCATCACATATGTCTGATTTCAAATCCGAAGTAATTTTCAACCTATTTTGACTCCTAATATCATTTTCCGGAAATTGTGGTGGTTCCATGGCTGTTGGCGAGCAGTGTATATCACTGAAGATGTCCCTATTAGGTCATAGAGTGCATTTTTGGTATATCTCTCGCTCCAGCAAATTTCAGGATCCTTGCCCAACGATAACGTGAGATACAGGGGTGTTCCCATTAGAAGTGGGTCACACTGTATATCGGATTCTGAAACCTTTTTGACACGATAATACACTACACTGTGTTTCCACTAACCAAACCGATTTTTGAAACGCCTCGACACGCGTGTTTCGCCAACTATGTCGGCATCTTCAGGAGAAGATTAAAACTGTTGTAATATTCTCCTGATGAAGAAGCAAACATAGTAAGCGAAACACGTGTCGAGGCGATTAAAAAATCGATTCGATGAGTGGTGAAATAGTGTAGTGTTCAATAAGCAATAAAGTGCCAATATTGTAAAAACATTTATTTTTTGTGACCAGCCGATATCAACTTGCCAATAATTATAACCTATTAGCGAAACATTAATGATTACAATATGTCAATTCTCATGTTTGGCTGATATTGTATTTTCAATATCGAATCAATCTTGGAAAGAAAAATATTGCAATATCCGATTCATGATGGTTATAGTGAATATTGCATTTCATTGTCCAGCAATATTTCACTGATATTGGCTTTCCAATATCGTTCAGATATTCCATGATTGAGCCAGTGCCAATGTTGTGATGATATGAAAAATTTGTGACCAGCCGATATTTATTTGCCAATATCTATTTGATATTGGCGAAATATTAACGATTACAATATGTCAATTTCCATATGATAGGCTGATATTGTATTTCCTATATCGAATCAATCTTGGAGAAAAATATTGTATCAATATCAGATTTATGGTGGTTTGTGAATATTGCATTTCATTATTCAGCAGTATTGCACTGATATTGGCATTTCAATATCAATTCGATAGGTAAAAGTGCACTTATCATGCGATGGTTTTTTTTTCGAAAATTTTTTTTTGTACTTACGTATTTTCGTCTGAAAAACACGAATTTCATAATGAAAATGTGAACAAACCACTATTTATCGAGATATTTCAAGAAAAAGTTCGAAATTTTGCCTTCTTTTCCCCCTTGTGTTGGATGCATTTACAGGTACTTGCTCCTATTATTTTGTCATTGGACACTTTATATACTCATGATGTACTTCACTGACACATTTTAAGATAGAAAATTCAACAGGAAATGTGATTTTTATGGCGAGTTTTTCCTATTTAGTGAGCAAGCATACCAGATGACGGCCATTTAATCCATATGCAATCCAAATACGAGATGTCAAATGTCAATAGATTGCTTTGGAATGACATTACACACGCCATTATTTCAAATGATATTCTTCCTTCTTTTCAATAAACATGGATAAATCACAAAAAAATCATATTTCTAGTTGACTCATATAATAAAAAAAATGTGTCCAACATTGTGTGATATATATAAATTGTCCAATGATGGAAAAAGAAGGGCAAATTGTTATAAATGTGATCCAGAAGACAGGCGGAAAAGATGGTGAAATTTGTAACTTTATAGTGAAATATTCAATAAATAGTGGTTTGTTCACATTTTCATTGTGAAATTCGTGTTTTTCAGACGAAAATACGTAAGTTTCAAAAAAAATTTTCGAAAAAAACCCCATCGCATGATAAGTGCACTTTTACCATTCGATATTATGAAAATGATATCACATCTATTTCATTTTGCAATTGATCTCAATATCGAATCAATATTATCTAGATAATATTTTTCCTATATTATATTTTGGATGATTTTTGAATATTGCATGATATTATTTTCATCGCTTGGATCGCACGAAAGGGAATCCCTTTAATGTTCGAGCCAATATTAATTCATCAATATGAGACCCATTTCAGATAGATATAACTAATAAAATATGTCAGAACCAATAATATTGCACTGATATTGGTTTCCTAATATCGAATCGATATTAGTGAGTATTATAGGAGAAGATGAGGTTGAGTTTCTATTTCACAGAAAAGTGAGGTTGTGCTTGGAAGTTTCACCTCGGGGGTGGACATTTGACAGATGAACGATCCTGGAGGTGGAACAAACTCAGAAGCGGACTCCTCTCTTGTGTGAGACATAGAATTGAGTATTGTTTTTCACAAATATAAATCGTGTTCATTCATCAAAGTACGCCATCACAATGCACGAAAAATCAGATGGTGGCAATGGGATTACTATTTTGTTCAACGAGTGGGAAATTACTATTCCGTGCATGTTATACACTATACTCTTTTCACGACTGTGACAGATCACAGCGAAAATTTTCATTACCTGTGCTTGTAGCCATCTGATTTTCTCTTGAGTGATTCTCATCTATCAGGCAAAGCTGTCATTGCTTGAAATTCGACAGTTCATTCAAAAGGAGATCTGATTTCGTGAAATGATAACATGATGAAGTCATTGGGATATCAGATACGAAAATGAAATTGATGACATATAAAGTTCCTCATTGATATATCGAACACAGTAAAACAAGAGCAATCTTGTGTTATAGACTCAGAAAGAAGATTTTTTAGGTAGGTGAATAAATGCTTTCGTAGTCTCTCACATAGTTCTCGGATATTTCTCTTCTGAATTACTTCTGCAATAGGACCTGAAAGGAAGACTTTTGATCTTGAAATTTGAAGTATTCTTGACAGAAAATTGAATGAGTTGTAAATGTAAATAATGTGAGTAACTAGAGTGACTACAGCACTTTCAGAACATAATTCAACTGGAAAATCGAGTGATGGAATGCTTGTATTGATAAATAGGCCTGAGAATAAATTCGTTAGCCAAAATAATTGTGGTGAACGATTTCAATTCTTGTGAACAAATAAGAAAACCTCCAGGATGACATATCATGTATAGGATCTCATAACACTAATTTACAATCACCGTAAGACTGTAAGAATGAAACTGACCAGCTTTGATTCATTTCCACATCTAAGCTTTTTCATTCTATTCAATTATATGATACAAGAATTTACTTTACACGACAATGATGGCTATCAAGAATCTACAATGCAAAGATCTCTTACAAATTTGATAGATTGTAGCACCTCATACTGATGCTCTTAAATACCCTTCAAAGATGAGCTATTTGTCTACTGATGTCACACTAACAAGTTTCTCATCGGCTCAGAAACGCCACAGGAGATTTAGCTTACTTCTATCAGTAGTGTGTATTATGTTCAATACTAGTCAGACGGAACCAAAGCTCTATTGTTCATAGAACGACAAATCTTTGGAATTCTTTGCTGTCAAAATTATTTATGAGAACCTACTGTTTCTTGTCTTCTGGGCGCACTGAATGAAATCCCTAGAATGTTTGTTTACATTATGCGTTCCTAGGAAGAGTAGGGAGGAAAGTAGGTATTTATTGACATTTTGTTGAAATTTTGGAGATCGAAATGAGTTCTTGAGAATACTTCCTTCATCGTAGAATTCTTAATGTGAGGATCTCATCATAATTAATGAAGCCTCTTCGTGAATAAAATCAAAATAATCAACGAACTCATCAACTACTTACATCAATCGAGCGATCATTGGAATCATCTCTATTATATCTAGGTTGGTCGTCTTTGGTTGGATCATTTGGTATCTACCTGTGAATTGAAGAAAAAACCATTTCTTGAGCGGAAGAATTTGCCTGAACAAGTTAATGAATCAAACTAGCTTATTGTGTGAACATTTAATCTTTATCCATCGATTTTCTGCTATTGAAATTATCAAGAATATCAATGTTAGTGATTTCCAATAATCACAATTACAAAATACGAACGACTGTATGTGGGCATGAACGAGAATGCCAAATATTCCGAACGACAGGAATAATATTCCGAACGACAGGGATATGGGTGTGACACTGAACAACAGCGTCTAAAATCGACACGAACGACTGTGTCTAGCACCTGAACGACAGATACATATATATATACCTCATTGTAACCAGTAGAATATCCACAATTGAATAATAATCGAATAAAATACAAGTGCATAGGTAGATAAATTTGCCCGTGAGTAGACTCACCAGGTTCGTGTAACGATAATTCACAGCCACAAAAGTCACAATACCTATAAGTCAGTAAATCACTATAGGTAACCAATAATTCCGAGAGAAAGGGCAGATATCATTAATCATACTCGGCAAAGAACTATATGAAAATGAGAATACAATTTCTCCCAAGATGCTGGGACACTCGATACCCATTTAATCTTAATCGTGTTAATATAAACAATACGTCTCATCACGTCTATGCGAGTTTTGTTCAGGTTATCGAAATAATCAGTTTCCCTTAGTATTAGGTACCCATGTAATTTTTATACTAGGCGTTTCGTTCAAGGAAATAATGAAGTCTTACACAAAGCTTCGCCGTTTCTCAAGACAAATAAGATTTGGTGAAGAGTTGTTCGACATAACTCAAGGTT